AGTGAGGAACTGATCGCCCTTTATGTTCGGCTTCTACTTGCCAAAAGCTGATATGTAAAGGGTGTCGTGTTCCATATCCTCCAATAAAAGCAGTCTGTTATTCACGAGCGGGAGAGGGTAAAACAAAGCAGAAACCGTAGAACACATGAAGGAATTTACAAAATCGTTGGTGTATTACCAAACACCATTAACGCTCGAAAAAAACTTACATTCATCGCTACTGCATGTTTTAGTAGTTCCGAATTTGTTCTCGGAGGAAGGGACCGCCGATTTCGGCCTTGATCCCGAGAATGAATGCCCATAATGACATGACGATGATCACCGCTTCCATCGTCCTCATGGGCACCGTGACCTATTATCAGAAAAGACAAGTGATAATGGTGAGCGATCCTGAGAACAACCGGTATGATGAAAAGAACTGGAACCAAACGAGGTGTGTTGTATTCACGAAGCTTGCATCGCATTTCATACGACTAATAAACTCCGTTTGCTTTGAGAATTTTTGCATTAGTAATCATCACCATCATACAGCGGGATACATTGAAGCGAACTTCACTGATCGCTGCCGAGCTCACAATGTACACAAATCAAGTGATAAAGCACAAAATGGAGGGATTGGACCTAATTGGAGGGTGGTAAAGAAAGTGAACCTCTATGGTTAACACACAGAGTACACAATCTAAGTGTGCATTCATACTTTTTCAAGCATTCTGACCTGATAAGAAATGACAACAAGAACGCCACTGTTGTTGGTTAGCTGCCATATTCTTCTGCGTCTCCAAAAAACCAGTTGCAGTCTTTTGGACCCCAACCTGGAAGATGGGGAACACCTATTCTATTCTGTGCATATCTTTGTGACTCGTTTCCACGCCATCTGTTGATTTCCACGCGGTTTCTTCCAACCCGGAGTCGCAACTGAGAATAAGGCGCGGTGCGGTAGACGATGGCCGGGTATGCACAATACGTGTCATAACCAGCGAAGCTGACTGATTTGCATCCGATGGGACAACGAATTCACCATTGAATCATTACCAAATACGCCTTACATCGGAGGTGGTTACACGTTCGCTCCATCCAACCCGCACCAAACTACGTAAACATCGGCAGTCGAAGACTTCTAGACGGCGAGTATCTTCCAAGTGCAAATATAGGGTCTCGCAGCCACAGAGAAGAACTGACCGCACATTGGCGCAGAATACACGACCTTTTAGTTTCAACAAAACATCGCGTTTGCACCAAGGGTGTTTCAGTCATGCGTAAGCTGCTCGAGCCTTGGAAATGCGGGCGGCTATTTTCTTGATTATGCTACCGTGATTTGTCACACAGTTAACTAAGTAGGAGAAACATTTCACTATAGCTAATTCTTGACCATCAAGTATCAGCGCCGGGGTAGACGACACCTAGTCTCCCAGCATCACCTAGCACTATGAAGGTGGAAAGCGCATGCCAAACAGAGCTACAGAACTTGACAGTCTATCAAGAGCGCTTTGCGCATCCTAAATACATTCACGATGCGTACGCCGGGTGAGAAGTAGCTACCCAAAAAACAAGTTATCCAGTTGCTCTATTACTTCTCCATTTAGAGTGAATTTGGGTGCTGGAGCTTGTAGTAGCATTTTACACTTTGAAGATGCAAAACGCATACCGAACATGGCTACGCTGGCATTCGAACTATCCAGAAAAGCGTTCAATTTCCTTAGATCTGCAACTTGGTAGCACAATGGCGTCTGCATACTCTAGATCAGAAAGTCTACCACCTGTATAAATCAATACCGCTATCCTCGCACTGTCTCCATAATCAGATCTATAACAAAGTTAAATAGAAAAGGAGAGAGAGAGGGCAACCCTGTCGAACACCACTTTCCGTGGTGAACTCGGGTGAAAAAGTGCCGTAAGCTCGAACTCGGCTTCGGCTATTATTGTAGAGGGATTGTAATATTGAAGTAAACTCCTCGGGCACTCCCTTCAGGGAAAGGCAGCACCAGAATTTGGAGCGGTCGACTGAGTCGAAAGCCGCTTTCAGATCGAGAAAGACAGAGATGGTGAGTCTACGAAAAGAATGTCGGTGCTCCAGAGTTTGTCGAAGAGTGGAGATGTGATCGATGCAGCCTCGACCAGGTCCAAAACCAGCCAGGTTCCCACGCGTAAACCGTTTACGTCCGGCAGACAATCGACGGAGTATGATGCCAGAGAGAAGTTTCAAGGTGATGTTGATTAAACTAACTCCTCCGTGGTTTTCCCAAAAGGACCTGTCATCTTTCTTGTAAATCGGTATAATGACCGATTCACACCATTCCGTTGGAACCTCTTCCCTCTCCCACACTGATCCAAGGAGTTTCGTTAACTCCGAAACGAAGGCTGAACCACCATCCTTAAAAACCGATGGGGACAGCTCTTCGGGACCGGAGGCCTTATACCTTTTGATACAGCTTATTTCTCGGGTAACCTCCATTTCAGATGGAGGACTGATGTCAACTGGCAGTATTTGCACAGTTGAATCGAATGGGGGAAAGTCTTGTGTCGAAGGGGACCAGCTAAACTGTGCCCTAAAATGTTCTGCCCAACGTTCAAGACGACGTTCCTGAATTTGAATCAGTGTGCCGTCAGACTCCTTAATTACTTCACTTACGCATGCTTTTCTTGGTCGTGTACTCCTCATTAAACGAAAAAGATTGCGAATATTACCAATAGCCGC